AAAAGTAAATTGTTACACCTTAGAATTGAATACTTTAGAATCCCCCCCCCCCCGAGAGATTCATTTCCCCATTATAAAATAAAAACTTCATGTAAGTAAAGTTTCTGTACATTGTGTGTTAAGGACTTTTCAGTATGGAGTAAAAATGACTGAGGTGGAACATGATATACATGAATAAAGTTATGGAATGGAGAAACTGGATTCAAAGAAACTGCCCATTTCTCACAGTACCAAAATTTGTGGTCATCCAATAAAATTCACTAATAATGGGTTCAGGGCTGACAAAAGGAAATAGAATTATGCACAATATATAATTATGGAATCAACCAGCATAACATATGGGGAGACGGAACTTTTAGATGCCTTTTTAAGTGTTCAATTCATGGAAGCTGGATCTATCTATTAACTAGCGGTGAGGAACTGGATCCAGCCAGTGGGCCAAATCTTCATCTCCTCAACCCCCTACAAGTAAAATTTGACAGTTGGGTGGGGCTGTTCACCTGTCAATCAACTCACATCATTATGACGAGGTGACCAGTTTTCACCAACATGGCTTGTAGAGGTCCTGAGCTTAGTGCCCTATAAGTGGTGCCTGCAAACCCCTTTTTGGTCCAGCTACATCTTTTGCCTGCCGCACACCTGATATCAGGTGAGTGTGGCTTTGCAAAAATAGCTTCACAAGCCAATTTATGGAACTTCTTTCCAGAGGATATTTTGTCTGCTTCCACAGTGAATATTTACTGTATATATAAAGTCAAAACATTGTTCACCCCAGGCTTTGTTTCATATTTCATATGTGGTCCCTTTAGCATTTGCACTGTTGCTTTTCTGTATCTTATGTAATGATTTTATGACTGTCACTTATCTTAGATGGATATTTAATGATTTCTAATATGAAGCTGCCCTGTATGCCAAATGGGAGGAAGGGCATGATATAAAAAGAACAAGCAAACAAATAAAATGCATCATATTTTCATGGCAAGTTGTGAAAATTTGTGACTCCATAAACAGCATGGGCATTTACTTTCCATTTAATGGAGAAAAGCAGCTATTCAGTAACCACCAGTCCTTCCATCTGAAAGCCATGGAGACTTGCGTCACATGAGACTTACATTTAGCCTTGTGGATTTTGACATTGCTGTTGTTGTTAAAATTCCCTCAACATATCAAAATTGCCACTTCGGGGGGGTGGGGACCCTAAAGCCTGCTCATACTCAAGGGATCAGTTTCATGATTCTTTGGCTCCTAGCGCTAGACTTCAAGTAAATGATCTTGCTTTGTGTTCTTGCATGTGTCCAGACAGCCAAAACAAAATTCAATTCCACAATTGTCTCTTTGTTCTACATAGATTTAAGTTTTGTGGTGCAAAAGGTGCATAGGCTGTATGACCAAATATTTTGGATTGCACTCTTGGATAGTGTAAATGGGTTGTATCAAATAAAGTTGTTCTGGACTTCCACTTGCGCATCAGAACTGACCCTCCTTCTCCTCTCCTCATGCATCCCTTCAAATCTGCTCTGGAGGGTTGAGGGCATATGGGGAAAGAGGAGGAGAGAAAGTTGCACAAGTAGAACTCCATGAGCTAATGAAACAATGTTGTTGGATGCAACCCAGTGCTCTATTTAGTTGCAAACCAATTTTAATTATTTGAGTAACCAAATATATGAATCACCAAAGAGAAAAGTTGGTTTAAATCCATTGATCTTCTTCCTTAATTATTTAAAATACCGGGATTATATCCAAATGCTGCCCCTGCAGAAGTAGAAAAGCTTTTGATCCAGAAGGCAACATCCACTAATGGAGGGAAAGCAGATTTTACAAAATTCCCCTCCTTCATGCAGTCCAAGCCCTCTCAACATTTCTTCTAGATGGTTTCCCAACCCTCTAGTCGGGACACTGGGAAACTAGCAGAAAAAAAATGCCTCCCTTCTTCCTCTGTTTGTAGACAATTCCCACGGGAGCAGGAGCACCAGGAAAACCAACTGGCTGGTGCAAATATTGGCCACCATGTTCTTCACGATCCCATAATAAAGGCTGTTACATGTATCATAGAGTGCGATATACAATCTTTATGAGTGCCAAGGAAGTGGGGAGCACAGTTTCTGAAGAACCGCAATGCCCCCAAATCCTCACTGGTACTTGGCAGGGGCAAAGTCCAAGCAAGCAATTTAGTGATGCAATCACCAGAACTTATGCATTATTATTCCTATCACAGTAGGTCATTTACTATACTAATGATTGGGTCATACTTTATTAAAAGCTCTGGTGCATAGTTTACATCCCATATTTCCTGTAATAGGAATCTACTTGCAGTAGTGCCTTCCTATTAATTTCAAACCATCAAATTTTAGTGTATGTAAAGGCATGCAGATGAAGCACAGTAAGGTTTTAGATGGCCCTTAACAGTAGTTGAGTAGGTATAACAGAAGAGCTCAGTCACCCTGGTATTAAAAAACAAAATAGACTGCTTTATATTATTTCTTTGGAGCTTGATTATAACAGTCAATTAAATAGTGTGGTTCAAAATATACTACTGGACTGAATATGCAGTAACCTCAGATCTCCTTCAATGGTTCTCAAAAGTTTTGTTTCGTAAATTATGTTTGTACTTTATAAATGAGGAACTGCTAGAAGCAAGGGTGAGATATAGGCAAGACTGAGACAAAGCAACAGTTAGATGCCACAATGCAACCAGTGAAGCAAGAAAGGATACATATACACACAGGTATTGTTGTTCTCAGTCAACCATTACCAGAAATATTCTGGAATTCTACAATGTGACCCTCAATCTAGGTTTAGAGTGGTGTGTGGAACAAGCACTCTCACTATTTATCCCTTTCTTATTAAATGTGGGAGCCAATACTGAAACACTGTGAAATCATCTATTGAAATTCTGCATCCCGGCTGGGACCAACCAGCATCCCATCTATAGAATATCAAAGAATGGGAGGAAACCCCCCTAAATATCAAGTAGAATTCCCCCATCCAGACTATCAAAGGCTGCTTAACATAAATTCCACAGTAAATCGTTTGCATTTACAATCATGACCCTCCCCACCTCACAAGCAGGCATCATCAACCAACGAGATGATAATGCACCTAGAAGCACAAAAATACAACGCGGAGAAATGATGTAGTGAAATAGTGGCAGAGAAGTACACACCTTGGCATTGATATAGGGGTCAAAGGGGCCGTACTTTTTGAGTTCTTTGATCTCAAGAGCATTCTACAAAAAGGAGAGGAAAAGAAAACGTGATGATGAAATGGGCAAGATATAGCAACAAAGCAGTGAGTGACTCTGAACGGGAGGAATGACAGAACACGACAATATTTCATTCCAATGAAAAGCAATTAATCACAATGGCCATTCCAGCTGTCAATAACTGCACCATGCACATCATTTTAAAGATAGCATGCAAACGTTACGTGACAATCTTTTATAGTTCACTGTTTAACATTTTTTTGTATGTTTTGTCTCATGCTAGCCACAGATTGCAAGATCATTCACTTTCATATGGCCCCTTCCATTAACCCTAGAGAATGGTGAACAGTGTTATAAACTTAAATGCTGTTGACTGGAACAAACTAAATGATCACAGCTGTGCTTGAGAACATGATGAGCCCAGCCGAAATTTTAAAAAAAGATTTGCCAACAATATAATCAAAGGCCATTTTAACATACACATTTAGCTATTTTCATATGAAGAATATTACTAATCAGCAATTGAACAGCACTGCCGACTTTCTTTTCAACTAGAGATTGTATTCCTATAATAGACTATTTATGGGAAACATCAGAAAGCTACATGACTTCATAGCTGTTAAACCCCCACAATCATGGAATTTTATCTTTAATTGTGAACAAAGTGTGCTGCCCATCCCATCCTAGCTGCAATGTGGTCCACACTGGCTGAAGTAGTCACTGTGTGGTTCAGCATGGGTGATGCTTTCTATTGGAAGTGAAAATATTTACAAAAGGCATATCCTCAATTACTTTAAGTCTCACCCACAGTGATAAAACACACACACTGTCCACAGTACAGAGTGACCTCCAGCCAGGCCGCAGTAACAGCACCTGATAAAAAAGAACTCCACGACATTCCCAGTACTTCAGTTTCTTTGAACACTAGTACCTTTTTAATTTGATGCTATCTTAGTTGCAAGAAATCTGAAGAAAATTTGTCAACCAGTTATAATTCAATAGTATTAGAATACAAATACCCCAAAGACCAGTGTTCCACACAAAAACTAGAACAGGAAAAAACCTCGATTCTCTGCAGTAGTCAGACTAAACTAACCAACATATATATTTAATTTTCATTGTGTGTTCAGTGGGGGTGTAAAGGACATTTGGATTTTTAATAGGAATTTTGTAATTCTGCTAGCTTCTCCAGAATAAATATAAGTTGTATGGAGCAATTTTTTAAAAAGAAGATGCAAGTCAATCAGAATGCAATTTTTAAAATTGGGGCAAGTACATATTCCCCTCTCACTTGAGTAGAATCACTGCTCTTTAGTAGGTTAATAATGAATAAGTGAAAGCTTTACTATAATGAACTTCACAATATTAGCTTGCCAAGCACAAGTACTAGAACAAACTAAGCGCAGCTACAAAAACATGACTAAAGGAGACTAAGGTTACTTTAATTGGCTCCAACACAGAAAGGAACTGGTACATCAACTACACCAAGTTTCAAATTACCCAGCAAATGGAAGAAAAGCAATGGTTAACATCCTTCCATCCTGCACATGTTGCAGCTCATGTACTGCTTACTTCCACAGTTTCTAATCAGGTGGCCGGCCAGAAGTGCAGCTTTCAAGACAGGTATTTGTTTTCCTGCGTAGAGATAGTATTTAACATTTAACTCCTTGCCATGCAATAAATCCTGAATAAATCTGAGTCTCATAGATGCTGAGTATCATAGATTCTCACTCTCCTGGAGAATAATCCTAATATTATTAGGTTATTAAAAGCATGAAAATAAGAAACATATTCAGACCTGCTCATTCACTTTAGTGTGAGATGGCCCCTGGTGTATTAGTAGTTTCACTATTTCAGCATCTCCTTTCCAAGCTGCCAAATGAAGAGGATAACAGCCTTTGCAGTCGGCCACGTTGGTTAATGCATCATTCCTTAAAAGAACTTCCACAACATCCCTGTAGGGAGGAGAAATGATGTTGTGAGATATTTAGAGTAAGTCTAGATGAGAGTCAACAATGAAAAGAAAACTGATTTAAGATACATAAACAGAATGATTGAGAATACATTTTATAAGTCAGTCTGAATAGATTCAGCTTTCAAAATATTTTTGGATTCAGGTGTTCAGTTACGGACTGCTTAGAACCACAGAAATGAAAGCAGCCTTGTAGTTCCTTCCACCCAGAGAAAATAAGGCTGCAATCCAAAGCACACTTACTGGAAGAGAGTTAGTAGAGCTTATTGTAGAGGAAGTGGACTGGAATAATTTATTTTAATCACTCAAGCTACACATGAGTGTGCAGGGGGGGTTTGTACTAATCTCTAAAGTTGAGCTAAGGCTCATCCAAGCAACTGAACTCCTAAATGCTCACAACCTAGCTATGCTTGCATCAAAATGGCTTGAACAAGGCTGGTGTTTCACTGCTATAGTATATTTTGAATTTTATTTGTACAATATATGTACACTAAGAGCATAAAATCTACTGTAAGCAGATCAATACTGATCAAGTTAACAGCAAAACATACCAGTATATCAGTGTTTCTCAAACTGAAGGGGGCAGCACTAAAGGAGAACTGTCATACATAACTTATTAGTTACAAAGGTGTAAGTACCATAGCTATAGAATGGAGGGAATTGCTATAGAATCAGAGGTGTCGGCTTCTCCAGAGGATGAGGGTGGGGCCTGATGCAACATCAAACATGGGATGTCACGAGGTGCCAGGGGACAGAGCCCAAACGCCCTCCGAAAATTGAGGGGTCCCCGCCCCCTCAAAGTATCTATCTATCTATCTATCTATCTATCTATCTATCATCTATCTATCTATCTATCTATCTATCTATCTATCATCTATCTATCTATCGGAGTGCCTATGTATAGGATAGAGGGTTGCAAGTGACACCTGTGAGTCCAGTTGTCTCAGAGGGTAGTAAAATGTTTGTTAATGCTGGGGAGGGCACAGGAATTGGGCTGAAAGGTGGAGCAGCGTAGTGGGGCTATAAAGCAGTTAAGTGTAACTAATATAGATACTAAAAGGTTCTGAGGGGTTAAGAACTACAATGACAGAGTTCAGAAAATGGCTTGAGAAGCACTGGATGAAATTTTCAAGTCTGCCATAAGCTCAGCTTTGATAAACTACTCCAGCAAGCAATAGAATATATGCCTATAATGAAGATATCACACAATCTGCATAGCACAACAGTATTTAGGAATGCTGATATAGGCTTCAAGAGTTTGCAAAAGTGCATCAATGGGGTAAATTGTCATTGATATTTGAGCAACGGTTTATTTGTTTTTAACAGTTCAAACTTGAGGAAACATAAATGACATAAAGCAAATGTATTGGCTCTAAACATTACAATTCCATTTTGTGGAACAATCTCTCACCCAACTGGAATCGATATGCAAAGTTTATCAGGAAAAGTAACTGAATCCTGACACCCTCCCCCACCCCTGAAAAAACCCTACTTTGGTATTTGATCTGGAACACGAGAAGCAACAGTATGAAGGTATGAATCAATTTCCTTAGAGCTGCCTTAAGAGTTGTGACTTGCCCTCTCTTTCATACTCTCAGAATTAAAGCCAGAGCATCTTAGGGGTTGAAATATGGGCTGGCATTTAGCGGATGAAGTCAATGTGAGATATGAATAGCCACTGATTCAATCTTGTTGAGGTTCAGCAGACCAATTCTGTGTGAATTCCTCCAGCCCTCATTTTGATATTGAGAATTAATGTAAACCCCACTCAGGCCTCAGTGGTGATAAACTCAGCAATATAGTACAGCTCACTGCTGTCTCGAAGCAGGTGTAACTTTGGTGATCTATTATCTGCTAGATATGGTGGAGTTCACATGGATCAATAGATATGGTAGAGTTCACATGGATCAATAGGGAAATGGTACATACATTGCCATAGGTTTTAACTTTTAAACTACCAAATTACCCAAATTGTTATTTCACAGATGGGTAGCTTACTTGTGACCATTCAAAGCAGCATGGTGCAATGGAGTATATCCGGTATTGTCAACACAGTTCACATTTGGTCCTCTCCATATGCTGTAAAATAAAAATACAGCATAAAGACATAAGACACTTCAAGTTAAGCAAAAAGAAAGGTAAAGCCAGACTGAAGCAAGGTTTCTGCAGATTTTACCATAAAATGGCATACGCTCCAACATGTTGAGTCCCAAAAGCAGGATGCGGGTCTTCCCCGTCTGTGCTCCAGGGCGAGTCATGTGACCCGTGAAAGGTCATGGAGCCAAAAAGAAACACTTTTTCAGGGCCATGCACACCACACCCAAAAACACATGTTTTGGGGTGCTGTGCAAATGCTTTTGGGAGGCAAGATCTCGCATGGCGCCCCCCCCCCCAATTGTACTGGTTGCATTGGCTCCCATACATTTCTAGGTCCAGTTCAAAGTGCTGATTTGCCCTTTAATGGCCCCAAACAGTTTGGAATCAGGTTTCATGAACATCCTCCTAACCCCACATCAAATGCTTGCTTACAATACTCACAAAATGTTTTCTGAAGAAAATAACTGTTTTGTGCCTATCTAGGCTGATCTAGCTAGCAGACTGGACTGCAGATCATTCCATAGATTTGTAGCCATCCAATAATGAAATTTTGTATATTACTTAGTTTCTCTCAAAGAATATGAAATTACAAGTTCATTAGGTACATTTCTACCCACCTAAACATGCTGGCTGGCTGAATACTATAGGAATATAGTTTAAGAATAAAGCTGAAACAATATTATGTTTTCTTCTAACTTCTTGAATTAAGGACCATGACCATCAAGCATCTTGATTTAGATATAGGACAGGGTTTGTTAACTGAATCCTGTTTTCAGGAGATCAGCACCCTCTATACTTGTCTAATCTCATTTATCTATCGCAGCAGCACCTGGAAGGAACCCTAAAGGAAACTGAACCTTAATTTCAGAGGTTTTTAATGCTTCAGAGTGTGCACCCAATTTCCTGGCTATAAATGTGTTTGCCAGTGAAAGCACCAATACTTTCTTTAAAAGAAAGTAAAGAGTAGTAAGAAAAGAGTAAAGAGCAGAATCCAAAATATGCCATGGTCTAGCCTGAGCTATTTCTTAAAAACGAAGGGAGGCATAAAGGACCTCTTTAAGAAGCACATTTTATTGCCAGAGCTAATAGGGGAAAATAGTAACATATTTTCTAGTAGTCTAAAGACAGTCAACACACTTAAGGCAACGTGACATGACAAGCACCTACAGCTCCTAATTATAAAGCTAATTCAGATATTACTCAAACTGTGTAACCATTTAATGAAGCTTCACTGCCAATTACACTGTCACACACAATTTGAACTGTTGCCTAAGCATCACTTAATATTCTAGTCTTGAACAGGAAACATTTGGTATGTGTAATGCTCTAATATTATGCTCTCATTTTTCTAGCAGAAAAGAGGCTTTTGATAACTCAAGATTTATTTAGCACTTCAAACGTAACATTGATGCCAAGGAATTTTGAAACAAAGGAGGTAATTAGTTGCCAACACAAGCCGAGTAGGAGGCAGATCTGCCAAAGCGGGGGAGGGAGCGTCCTCTCCATATAAATTGGATTTTTTTTTAATTTTTAAAAAATGCACTCTGGAAATAAGGAGCACAAAACAAACACAGTATGCAATTAATCTAAACTGGGTATTTAATCTGGGGCAGTGGGAGAGGGGAGGGGGCTCTTTCCACAAGCCTGAAGTATGCCATCAAGTGAACACACCTCTATATCGTAAGATACTCCTGGTTACACTCCCTCTGTGCAAGCTCTACTACAGTGGTGCAAAGCAACGATCATCTTCAGATGACATCCCTAGCAGCTACTTCACAGTGCTTTCCATGAAGATAAGAAAAAAAGCCTACTCTAGGAAAGCAGGAGAACGCCTCCCTTTTACAACAAGAAATGAGTTACAATTCCCATCCCAATGCATCCTGGTTCCCTAGATACTAAGTAGGCAGAAGCGACTCAACAAAAGCCACTGCTTAGAAATAAAAACGCCTTGTATTTGACTGGTAGTTCTACACATTTACAAGCCATTATATTAGAGTAGGGGGACTCATTTTCCTATTGGTCATAGATAATGGAAACATACAAAGATAAGCTATTTGACCCAAACCGTAAATATAAATAGAAGGTAAAAGAAAGGACAGGTGATTTGTGCACATCATGCTACAAAGAATAGCTCTAAGGAAGAGAGAAACAAAGTAAACTGCTGCAAAAATAATCAAACATGTTTTGAAGGCGTGCATTTATTTTATCCTAAAACCAATTTAATTATAGCAGCTCTCAGCAATCTCTCCCCCTTACCAGAATATAGCCAAGCAATTTGATCCTATACAGCAGTGAAGTTTACATCCCTCCTGGCAATGGAATAAGTGGTATGTCTGGATAATTTTGCTTTCCTGTAAAAATATTGTACTCTTCAAAGTCAATATCAGTAAAGCCACCTTTCTCAGAGGATGCTGCCTCCATGAATGCAAGAACCGGAAAAAAAATCAGATCACTACAGAGGACAAGGATACAGTCCTAGGATGGGCTGTCAAAAGAATATGCTCCAAATTCAGTCTGCTTTTGAAACAGACTGAAAATATATATAATTTATATTTGAAAAAGCATAGTGAATAGGAAGTAGTAGCAACGAAGTAGATGTGCGATTGATTAAAAGGAAAACATAAAATAGTGCCAATAACTCAACATCACATTGGAAGAGAGCAATTAGACACCTGCATTTTCAGGAAACACTTGAGTACAGGACAAATTTCAGATACAGAACCACAGCCACTACATTGTGCATAAGCACGCCATCAAGCAGTGAGCAGAGGCAGCTGACACAAGGGGAATGGGGAGAGGCACAGAGCTTAACACCAGTAAAGTAGTTGTATGTAATTTGAAATTTTGTCACAAATTATATTGAATCCTTTATGTCAAGTATGCTATGGAATCTGTAAGTTTGCAATTCAAAAATATGTTTATGTAGTAAGTTAAAGATCTAAGAAGTATAGGGCTTTGTTTAAATATGCACGTCAACAGTTAGCATTATTTTTTGTAACCAGCTATCGTCAATAGTATAATCCATATAAACAGTTACTTGTAGTATTGAAACTTCCAAAGTTGTTATATTTACCTAGTTATGTGGACAAGAATTAAATACAGTACTTAAGAAAAAACAAGATGGACCAAAGAAGACATTTCTGTAATCAGAATGCACTTCACACAAGATCAGGGGTGTCCAATTTCCATTGAGGTCCTCCAACTGTACATCCACCCACACCCCACATCCTGTTTGGTCTCTCAAGTCTCAGAAGATACTTTTTTGGGGGGTACTGCAGCAGATCTGAGGTGGTGGCAGGAAAGCCCAGCTGTGTAAGCACACATCAGCTCACAATCCTCTCGATCTAAGCATAAAAGATCAACAACAATATACCTGAACAAGTAACAGCATTACAATGCAGCTTACAACTGATGACAGGTTTTGCAAACTAACTTGCATGTTTTCAATTCTTTAAATTTTTATACAGTGCACACAATACAAAGCCCATGCAGGCAACTCATTTGCATGGGGGTTGTGTTCCGGGTCATTTAGAGCGTTGGCGGGGTACGTATAAGCCCGTCCCACCCCCTTCCAGGGCCAAAAATAGTGCATGTGTCAGCGGTTGCACATGCCTCAAACTCGCACAAAATGGGAGTTACCTGTACTTGTAAGTCTAATTCTCAGGGTAGAGATCCGTTTTTCGGCAATACGGTTCTGTAAAGCTTCAGAACTGATAGCACTATGGTGACTGTTGTACAATGCAGTTACTGTGTTTGCGAGTCATTTTTATGACTAAGGCATCATCATCATCATGCACGCTACCCCAAACTCAGAGCAGCAAGATACTCCAGGAGTTCCTGTGCTTTACCCAGGGTTAAGTTTCCCTGGAATGAAGTTGTTCTGTGACTATGTTTATACAGAGTTTATAAGATTCCAAAACATTCTATCATGTATACATAAATGAGCTGTAAGAACCTGCACTATCTTGGTTTAAGTTCCCTGATTAATATTCATGCCATTTTAATGCCCTATGTGCACTGGCCAAGCAGAATGTGAGTGCTTACTCACCATGAGGTTCCAGGCCGGGTTAAAAATTTAAAAATACAATGTTTAAATCATAAAACAAATATCGCTTAGGAGTTCAAGTATGGGAAGGCACAGCCTTTCCTACAGAGATAGTTGTATGGTGTAGTAAGGCAGGATGTAGCCAGCATCAGAAATTGAGAATGTCTAATACACAGAGATTAGAGTACACTGCATTTGAAAAGAGCAGCAATTTCAGGTTTCTTAGCTACGATGCTTTGAATTACAAACATATTTTTACAGAAACATAGAACATTGATGCAGTACCTATGTAATGTACGGTTCCTCTATCATAAGCAGTTCCAGTTTGAATGCCCATGATAACTATTACATGCACAATCAATAATGTTGAATTGATTACCTGAACAAATCAAACAATAGTTGTGTCTGTGACATGAGCATTTGCTCTGCTACTGGAAACATGTGGAGAGATCAATCCTATGAAAGGTGAAGCATGAGTGCCACCCCTACAAAGGTCCAGAGATGGCACTGTACCCAGTTATGGGTCTCCACCAAGTCCATGAAGAACATATAAATGACTACCTTTATACATTTAATTGTACTGATAGTCAAGTTGTAGTGCAATACAATAATTACACAAATTGAGTCAGAAACAAATACAGCAGCCATCATATCGTCAGCTGCCTTCATAAGATATGTACCACTTCTCATATAGTTAGGCAGTTGGCAAGCTCAAGACAGACATTCAAGAGTTGCAACAGGAAGTTACATAAAATGTTTAACAAACGGTGACATAATATCACTGTAATTATACGTTATTGGTGGCAAAAACACATTTGCCCCATACACTAGTACTTCCGTTGTTACAAGCTGCTTGCTCAAAAATATGCCACCATGATATACATAAGTAGTTTGATCATGTAGCTTCCACAACATAATGAGGGGTTTTTAAAAAAAT